TTTCTAAAGCCCCTTCCAGATTGATCACTGGTGTTGTTAAAGCCATCTCATACCCTCACTGTTCCCATAACCTGAGTTTAGCCCCACCACTACCTCTATAGCTATCATCCAAAGGAATAGGTGTTGCTTGTGCTTTGGGAGAGGAGGAGTTCACGGGATCTTGAAATTATCCTAATAACTACAGCATATTGAAAACCTGCAAGACAGCAGGAAACTGTTAGGAACAGATTGTCTATTTTTTTAGCTTTGTAAACAGCCCTATAGAGAGTATTGTCACATTTCACAGATGGGGAAAACTGAGACCCAAAGAGGCAGAGCATCTAGCCCAGGGCCCACTGTTAAGTGAGGAGTAGAGTTGGGATTCCTGGAAAGTCAAGTATTTTCTGGTAAACCAAGGCTTTAATGATCACCCCTCCCCCTCCTGTTTCTCTCTAGATCCCTCCCTGCTCTCCCGTTATCTTATTGCAGTCCGCTCTACTGCTCTCTTTTCTGCCCCCTTCTGTTGTGGTCTTCATCTCTTATTGATAGGAGTTGCCAGGTCTTAGTTTCTGTGAGACAGGATTTAAGCTCCCTCTGTTTTGCTTTGATTTTATGAACTGTGGTGTCTCCTGCTCATCCTCATTATTGTGTCTTTATTGGTCTCTCCCTGAAGCTCTTCCTACTTTTTCTTTTTAATTGCTGACTCATATCTCTCTATCCCAGTTTTTATTTATTAATTTTTTTGGCAGCTGGCCAGTGTGGGGATCTGAACCTTTGACGTTGGTGTTATAACACCACACTCTAACCAACTGAGCTAACTGGCCAGCCCCCAGTTTTTATTTTTACATTTAAATTTAAAGTGTAATCATGTTTCTCTGGTCTTCCTGGTGCTGTATTCTTTTTTTTTCCCCATAACACAAAACAAGTTTTTCACTAATTTTAATCTGTTCCCTTTCATTTAAAAGCTTCAAACGCCTCCCTCCAGGTTAATCCGTATGTTTAGGTAATTCTTTATAACTGAGAAAGCATTTCCACTTAAAATTTTATGTATTACTCAAGTTTACATCATATAAATACCATGACTTTGTGAAAGATGTGTTGGAAAGTTATCTTCCTTTTATTCATTGCAGTACTAAAGCTCATAGAGGTTAAGTCACTGGTTGAAGGTCACACAGCTATTAGAGTTGCTTGTCCAGTGTTCGTTTCTGCTTTTTTACTTTAACTTTTCTGTACTTCCCATATCTTCTTTCTAGAATGATTATTCTCTCTATACTAAAAATATAAAGCTCATGGTTTTACAATAATTATTTTCTATTTTATAAGTTTCCAGTATGTAAAAAAAATCTTTTTAATGTTTATATTTCTTTATTATTTTTTATTACAGAAATACATGATCCTTATAAAACTTGAAGTATTATAGAAATATTTACTGTAGACATTGAAAATCCCTGAAAAGCCTAACAAAATCAATATTGATAAATGGGTATTGACATCATATTACAGAATGTCATTATAAGAACTGTTTTAATACTTCTTTAACTTAATAGTGTCTTTACGTTTTGTTGCATTCTTGAAAATTTTGACAAAGTATAAAATTTAAACCACGTTGTCTGTATCTTTAATCAATGGCATTTATAAGAAAGAATAAAACCAACAGCTGATCAGGGCCATCTGAGAAAGCCCAGACAGTCAGTCTTCTTGACGCTCTAGTTAAGTACCAGAAGGTGAATGTCCTACTGTGTATCTTACAGGTAGCTTGTTATTTAAAATTAAGGTTCTTTTTACTTTCATCCTGTGCCCTCTCCATCTTCATCTTTTCGCAGTGACGAAACTATAACTTGATTAAGGAAGCCCATTTCTCCATGTATTTTTTAACGGGTAGGAGAGAATAAAAAATAGAAAAGTTGTATTGGGCCTAGATAAACTCACTTCCATTAGGGCAGCTGTAGGATGTGGAAGGAAAAATACTAGGTTGAGTTCTGTAGTTTTCATTCCTGTTCTCCTGCTCTTCTCCCAGGTGATCGTGGAGAAGGCTCCCAAAGCCAGGGTGCCTGATCTGGACAAGAGGAAGTACCTGGTGCCCTCTGACCTCACTGGTAATGCTCCTTTTCTCCACCCTTGCTCCCATGGCAAAGCATTCTTGGTCATTATCATAGGCATGAGATTGTGAGATTGAGAGGAAGTACAGAGTGGAAGGAAGTGAGTGGGATTCTCCAGAAAGTTAGCTGATTAAAAAATACACTTATGATGGCAAGAGCAAAATAGTTCTTCTGCCATTACCAGTTCCCTTAAGCATGTCCCATCACCCTGTCTTGTTTGACTTAGACACAGCAAAGCACAAAACATGGAAAGAAAAGATCAGATGCCCAATATTTAAACTACTTTTTTTTTTTGTCTTTTTGTCTTTTTTACTGACCGGTAACGGGATCGCAACCCTCGGTGTTGCGCCCACACCGCGCTCAGCCAGTGAGCGGGAACCGGTCTCCACATGGGATCCGAACCCTCGGTGGGAGCGCCGCCGCACTCCCAAGTGGTGCACTCTCCAGTGCGCCACCGGGCCGGCCCTTAAACTACTTTTAAAATTCAGCTTTGTCACTGTGATATCAATTTGTTCCAAAAGGAAAACCAGCCTAGTTTCTTGGTATGATCACATTTGAGAGGTTCTCAACTAAATATTTTATCTCCTCATGCTGCAGTTTTTTTGTAATAAGTTTTGTAGATTCTGTTTGAAATTACAAAGAATACCCACTGTATCCCAGAGACACTGGAAAGACTTTATAGGTTATGTTTGCTCTAGACTTAATTGATTTGAATATCAGCCTTCTAGAACTTTTTCAGTATTCTCAGGAAAAGGTAAAGCATTGAACCCCACCCATTGCCCCAACACTGGGTTGAGTGACTGTGCCAAGATCCCCAAGTCTGGTAGGCCTGTTTGCATCACTAGGTGTCCTAGGGTGGGAGTCAGGTTTAGATGATGGTGGGAATATTTTGACCTGCATATACATGTATCTCCTCAGAGTAGTCCTCAGGCTTTAGGTGGACATGTAAACATGAGGCCTGAAGTTGAGGAAGGGTTAAACTCCACTGTGGCATGTCAGGGACTATGTAGGCCTTTTTGAGTTTCACTTTTTTATTTCTAAATCTCCAGAGTAGTCCTCAGGCTTTAGGTGGACATGTAAACATGAGGCCTGAAGTTGAGGAAGGGTTAAGCTCCACTGTGGCATGTCAGGGACTATGTAGGCCTTTTTGAGTTTCACTTTTTTATTTCTAAATCTCCTGGACAGTATTTGGCTCTGCTCAGATGATAAGGCTGGTAGTTAACCTGAAGGACACATGCAATAGAAATTGGACATGTAAACATGAGGCCTGAAGTTGAGGAAGGGTTAAGCTCCACTGTGGCATGTCAGGGACTATGTAGGCCTTTTTGAGTTTCACTTTTTTATTTCTAAATCTCCAGGACAGTATTTGGCTCTGCTCAGATGATAAGGCTGGTAGTTAACCTGAAGGACACATGCAATAGAAATTTTAGGGGGACTTATACTTCTACTAACACCTTGTTTTCTTCTCTTCTTGCCTTTTCCTTCTTCCTTCATCCAGTTGGCCAGTTCTACTTTTTAATCCGGAAGAGGATACACCTGAGACCTGAGGACGCTTTATTCTTCTTTGTCAACAACACTATCCCTCCCACTAGTGCTACCATGGGCCAGCTGTATGAGGTAATGCTCCTGGTCACAATACCATGCAGTCTGGCTTTCTCCAGCATTTGTTTCAATTATGTCAATAGCACACCTGGGAAGTGGGGCAGAAGGTGTTATTTACCAGGATCCTCTTACACATGGCAGTGTAAGGCTCCAGGAGATTAGATGCCACTTGTCCTTTAGGGATTGAACACTCTACTAGATTTAATCCTTTTGAAGTCTCTTCTCAGTCTTACATGACTATAGTGTTTTAATGCTGGATTGTCCTTATTGATACAGCAGGAAATGGTTCCTGATAGCAAAAATTTTAAAGCCTCTACCTGTCATACTTCTGTTATTCTTGTTGGTAACATATAATTTGTAAGTAAATTTTATGCATTCACATCCCAGTTCAGTATTTTATTCCCATTTAGTAACAGATTGAGAAAACAAATAATAGTAAAGCTAATCCCTTTGGACTCTGAAGCTAACCTCCTTAGAGTAAAGGTATTTCTTAACAGCTCCCTCTATAAACTCTGAAATTTTGGTTTAAGACAACCACATAGATCTAAACAAGGGAAAATTTTCTCCTTAGAACAAAGCTAAGACTGAAGCAGATTCCCCACTATCTGGGTGCAGTGAATCAGATAGAATGAAATTTATAACTAAAGCAAAGTCTTTAAATGGATTGTCTTAACAGATAAACTCAGGTAGAATAATTTATGTGATTTGGTTCAATTGGTAAATTATCAGAATCTAATATGAGAAAACTATTGTACTTTAACTTAACTTTATTATACCATAAATATAACCTAAAGATTGTAACTGTATTATTTCTTAAAGGATTGCGCACAAGGTCCTGCCTTCTCATTGTGCGTCACATAGTGAATTACTTAAACTTCCAATAATCTCTAAGCTGATTTCACTCTATAGCATATATTCCCTACTAGGATATATTCCAGTGTACGTGTCTCTGGTATCTGAGTTCCCCTTGCTAGAATGAGCTTCTTTATGCCACTGTCCTCTTCGTATTCCTGATAACTGTGTGTATTATGTTCTCCATGAAGGTTTTTTGTTTGTGAAATCAGCTTAATTCTAACCACTTCTTATTCTTTGTTCCTCTTTTTAATGGGGGCTAGTGATACCTGCCTTACCTACTTTACAGGTTGTGTGAGGCGCAGAATCCTAGACATAATGGATATGAATGTATTTTCTAAGCTGTCTTCTTATCTCTTCTCTTAGGACAACCACGAGGAAGACTATTTTCTGTATGTGGCCTACAGTGATGAGAGTGTCTATGGGAAGTGAGTGGTGGAAGCCCAGCATATGGGAGCACCTGGACTTGGGGGTAGGGGAGGGGTGCGTGTGGGACTTGGGGAAGGAGAGGGAAGGCTCCCACCATGGAGGAGACAGAAGGTGAAGACATCAGGAAACATCACACTGCACACACCATCATCATATTTTCACATGCTCAGTTGATATTTTTTGCTGCTTCCTCAGCCAGGGAGAAAGAATGTCAGGACAAAACTGTTGGATTGGTTTTGACAGAGGAATGGGGATGACATAATTTTACAGCGTTGCCGAGAATTCATTTTTGTGCAATTTCATAGTAGGGTCAGGAGGTGGGCAAGTCAGGGCCAGAGAGGATTGCAGTCCAGCAGCAACTCCCTGCTCTCTCTTCTCTTTGGGCAGAGATTCTCTTTTTGACATTTGCTCAAGACACATAGGGAAAGGGAGCAGGTGGGTTTTAGGACTTGTAGTGGACCATGCCTGGGGACCAAAAGAGACCCACTATAGTTGAAGCACTGATCTCCCGTATCGCCACACCTCCTCCCTCTCATCCTAGTCGGAATCTCAGACACAAACATCGCAGTACCACCCCAGTGGTGGCAATAGACATTGACACAGAAATTTAAATGAAGCTCTCTTACTTTTGGAAAACAGAGATCAGGCATGAAGCTGATATGCTTATGAGAATAGTTTTGATAGCATCAAACTGGAATTGACTGAGTGTTGATCATCTCTGTCTAACCCGCTCTCTTTCTGGTGCCCCTTATCCCACAGCTATCTTGGAATTTAATGAGCCTCAGGTATTTCCAGTTGCAGGCTAAAACCACTCCTTGCATTTCCTATGTATAGGGACAGAGATGTCTTATGTATGGAAGGGGCAGGAACGAGGTAAGATAGTCTGTGCCTACCACATGTCCAGAATTCTCGCTCCCTTGCTGCTGTCCCTTCCGTCTCACACACACAGGAATGCTATGTGACGGCCAGCTGCTTCCCCCCTTTGGTTTTCATCTACTGCAGCTGCTAGTTAGAGTTTGGAGGGATGACTTTCAGTAATTCATGGGGATTTTATTGATTTATTTTCACTTTAGGGGTTATGTGGGGTGGGTGTGGGGAGCAGGAATTGCACTCAGACATGACATTTCAATTCATCTCTGCTAATGAAAAGGGTCCTTCCTGTTGGGGGAAGTCTGTGTCAGTTCTGTCAGCTGAAGGCTCTTGTATAATGAAGTCAATGCTGTCAGGCCAAGGAAATAAAGTATTTGCTTACCTTAAAAATTCACCTGAATTCAGAAGTGTTGACTTTATTTAGTATGTATTAGAATAGATGGCACAGGGACTCTGAACAAAAGACAGAGGGGTGGCTGTGAGCGAGGAGTGTGCACACGTGGTCAGACACATGCATGTTTGCTTAGCTCTTTCCTGACCAGGAGTTGCTGCCCAAGGCCAAATGCTGCAGTGGGCAGTGCACCTGGTGCATTGGTGGTGTGTGTGTGATTTTCTCCTCCGCACATAAGTGCTTTGTCACTGCTTTGTGTTTCTCAAAGCTGAAGGTGGAAGATTGCCTACATCAGAGTAGAGGGGGTTGGCTGGGGGTGTGCTAATTACAGATGCAGATATCTAGGCCTTGTCCCGATTTAGCTGACTCAGAATCTCAGCGTAGGCGTCTGATTTTTAACAAGCTCTTCATAAGACTGCTGCACAGTAAGGTTGGAGAGTTATTGCTCTGTGTACCAGGTTTTGCTGTTAAGTCACAACCAAACCTTGTTCTCGCCATGACATCTTGGTCAGTATGAGGCTATCTCCTCCCAAAGCAGCAAATATCACCCAAGTAAGACCCCTAGCATCAGAACATGCTTGGAGTCTTCTCACTATTTGCAAGTCGTTCAGTCAGTAGGAACAAATGTGTGGGTGGGCTGTGGGGGTGCAAGTTATATGAGAATGAAAAACAGTAGTGGAAATTCCTTTTATAAAGAACCTTAAAACCCATCTCTAACCCTCTTTAATCTTTTGCAGTTATATTCCCAAGTGGTGTCTACCTATGTAGAGTTTATGGAATGTATTAGTCTCCAGAAAGTTAGTAGGAAGTCATAAAAGATCCAAGGCAGGATTCTACCAACCACCAAATCACATCCAGTGTACTGACTGAGAAAGTTAAGTCAGGATTGAGAGGAAAGGAAGAAGCCCAAGTCCAGAAAGTTAGTAGGAAGTCATAAAAGATCCAAGGCAGGATTCTACCAACCACCAAATCACATCCATTGTACTGACTGAGAAAGTTAAGTCAGGATTGAGAGGAAAGAAAGAAGCCCAAGTCCAGCAAGCACCACATGCAGAAAATTACGAAAATTCGAAGGAATTTTGACCAAAGCATTGAAATTGGGTACCTGTCACTACTGGCAAAAATATTGGGCTGCTGTTCCTTAACAAAGCCAGAAGGAAGCTAATGTTTTAGTTGTTAAGATGTAACTATGTTTTGGAACTAATAGACTTACCTGCTGCCTATGAATGAGATTGGATTAATGTTTAAAAGCAAAGACATGACAATTCCCAGCCCTCTGTACACACCTGAAACAATCCAAAGAGGTACTTTGAATTTAGAGGCTCTGTCTTTCCTAAGAGGACTTTGCTTATTTTAGTCCTACTTATTTCTGGATTTTCCTGTGGAAAAATTATATTCTTGAATAGGACATTGCACACCATTTTAGATCAGCCCTCTGGTTTTACAGATGCATAAAGTTTAACTAACTTAGCTAAATTCAGAGGGCAGCCTGGATATTTCAGTGTTCTGATTTGGATTTGGTGGTCTTTATTTAGTGTCAGTGTCTCAGT